CCCTCTAGAGCCAGGAGCCTAGATTCTGATTTCCAATCTCACAGAGGATCAGTGGAAGAGAACACCCTCAACTAGACGGGTTGACACTGACTGTGACAATGGACTTCAGCATGGCAGGTCATGGGGATGGTGCAGGGCAGGGCAAGGCTCCAATTTATTACTCATAGGGTCATTAAGAGCTGTGATTGGCTTGATGGTACTTAACAACAGTGAGAAAAGAAATTTGTTCATTAGAGCAAAAAACAAAACCCCCAAACCCAAAGAACCAAGTTATGATTAACTATCTTCAACTGATGGAGAGGTGCCATTTGTGTCTTTTCCATGACTCACTTATCTCACAGTCCAGTTACCCTTAGCCAGTCAAGTTAGGCTCTTTGTCGAGTGGGGAGCATATATGCCTTCATTCATAAGGTGTACAAGTCTCTGGTAGGCTGTCCCTCAGGGTAGTGCAGGGCTCCCAGATTAGGGAGCAAATGAGACTAAAATCCAATACATTCCACTTGCTATTGCCCAAAGGCACAAGACTTCACCCATGCCTGTTGTGTGCTGTCAAGACGATTCCAATTCACAGTGATCATGTATGACAGTGTACAATTTCCCACAAAGGGTTTCTCAGGGAGAACTCTTAATGGGAGCTGATAATTAAGTCTTTTGCCTAGTGGCTAGTAAGCTTGAATCACCCACTTCTCAGGTAATCGTTGACTGCTTACTCATTGAGTCATCAGGACTCTCTCTGCATCTACCTCTCTACTTACCTGCTTTAGTGTAGTTGAAGAGCCGTGCTCTCATTAACATAAAGGTACTGCATGAACTAGGGACGGCTCTGGCCTACTGTGGCCAAAGCCATTTCAAGTTGCAGTAAGTAACCTTTCACTGTTAACCACAATCAGTCAAGGTGTACCAAGGCTTGTCTCTGTGCAAAGGTATTTGACTGTGTGGACAATAAAATGTGGCTAACATTGAGAATAGGATTCTAGAACACTTTATTGTGCTGAGGTGGAACCTGTACAGGGTCAAGAAGCAGCTGTTTGCACCAACTAGGATACCGCACAGTTTAAAATTGGAAAGGTGTGTGTCAGGGCTGTTTCCTTTGACCATACCTATTCAATAGGAATATAACATCAGGATTGGAGGAAGACTCAACATGTGTTATACAAATGATACCACCTTGGAACGATACAGCCTTGGAAACTTGGGGTGTGGGGGTGTGTATGTGTGTAGTCTAGAGGGTTGCCATGAGTCAGAACCATCTCACTAGCAATGGGTGTATTTTTGGGAGCTCATATAAAAGAACAACAAATGTGTCTTAGAAGTGAAACATGTTTTAAAAATGAGGATGGCAAGGTTTTCTTGCATTTACACTGGACATGTCATTAGGAGGGACCAGTCGCTGAGAAGGACATCAGGCTTGGTAGAGGATCAGCAAAAAAAGCATTTGCCCCTCAATGAAAGTGATTCCAACAATATGCTCCAACAGAGTGAGGACAGAGAGGATGCCCGGGATGGCAGTGTTGTGCTCTGTTGTACATGGGGTTGCTATGAGTCAGAACTGACTCAATGACACCTAATGACAATGTCTATTAAACAAGCACTGATTACTCAGCAGACACTCCTTATGATTCAAAGATGATGCCATGGCTGCTAGAGGTAACAGAGAGGTATTAATTAACTGTAACATAAAATGTGTCCTGTCAAATTGCATCACTGATCAATGAGAGAATGGTATTTTCTATGTAGTAGACTTAGGGGAGATATACCCCAAACAAACCAGACATAATTCAAAACTCCATGGCCATTTCCCTAAGGAAGATCGAAGCAAGAAGCTCTATTTCTCAGTCTATTCAACCAATAAGTGACTGGGCATAGCAGCAAACAGTTTTCATTCAGACTTCTTAGGGTTAATACTTTTTCTGAAATGAAGTAGAGAGTTAATTTTAAGTTGTGAGGTGCTAACAAGATAACTCCCACTCAGAGTGACCCTACCTTTGTACAACAGATTGAAATCTTGCCTGATGCTGCACCATCCTCAGTCTCCACTGTGGTACGTTGAATTGGGGCTCCTTCAAACCAAATTAATGTCCAGACTCTAAACACAGGTATCTATGGATGTGACTATGTGTAATAAGGGCCACTACTAAAGTAATAATAACAAACAGCAACTAATGTAATCAAAGATCTTGAGAGCTGGATTAGCTGGTGGGCCCCAAATCCAAAAGTCAAATGTCCTGACAGGAAAAAAAGACACAGACTTGAGGAAGAGGGCTCGGTCAGAAAAAGGGGTTGGGGTGATGCTTCCATAAGCCAAGGAAATGCCCTCAACAAGCTGAAAAGGATTCTCTTCTAGAGCTGTTGGAGGGAGGGTGGTTCTGTGACACCTGATTTCAGACCTCAGGAGAATACATTTCCAAGGCAAGTCACGACATCTGCAGTAATTAGTTATTTCTAGAAAAGAAATAGTCTATGTGTTTAAGTCTTGATATTCTCTACAAGAAACATGAAATACAGTTCCTAGAACACAGAACTAGTCCTTCCTTTAGCTCTCTCATTAAAAACTTCATTGCCATCAAATCAGAATCAACTGGTAGCTAACTCTAGTGAGTTTGAGGCTGAAAACTACATGGGAGGCTTGCCTCTTTCTCCTGGGAAGCCACTGGTGGAGCTGTACCTCCAGAGGCGTGGCCCTTGGGTCAACAGCACAACTCTCTAGGGACTATCCCGTGTTTCTAGGACTATGCCACATTGCCTATCAGATAATAATCCTAACACAGAAAAGGCTCTTGGCTTTCCTAACTCCAGATCTCCCCTGAATATCGCCTGTACACATACACATAGAAATAAAAATATACATACTTTATTTTACTGTACTTCACATACTGCATTCCTCATCCCTCTCCCCCACCACAGCAAACTGAAGGTGTGGCAGTCTTGTATCCAGTCTATGTCCCAACCATTTGACTATTAGCTGCATTTTCCCAATGCTATGTGCTCACTTTGTGTCTCTAGCACATTTTGTTAATTCCACAATATCTAAATATTTTCATAATGCTGTTTCACATTTAGTAGATTATGGTCTGGGAAGAAGATCACTTTGATAGGTATGGGAAGCCAGGAAATTCACACGGCTCACAGCATTACTGGCTTTACCAGATATCCTGGAACTGAACGGCAGTATCTCCAAGTTCTGTGGTACCTTAAACTATGGCTGTACTTGATATAAAGTTTAAAGTAGATTTTAAATAAGATTTTAACAAAATTTTCAGAATGGAATCTGATTTCGTAAACAACTCTGGTTTGTAAAAAACTCTGTGGTTTTGTTAATAAGGTGCCTTAATGCGGCAGTGGTTAAGAGCTCAGCTATTAACCAACCAAGAAATATGCAGATCAAACCAGATAGCTGCTCTTTAGAAGAAAAATGAAGCAGTCTACTTCTATAAAGATTACCACTTAGAAACCCTACAGAGCAGTTCTATTCTGTCCTGAGGGGCAACCAGGAGTCAGCATTGACTTGGTAGAACTAAGTTTAGGGGCTTTTTGCCCTTTAACAACTTATGTAAAGGATTAATCCAAAATGAAAAAAATTATGATGTTTATATACAATTATGACTAATCTGAAAAGCTCCACATAACTATTTTTAGTGTGAAATGGTACTCCTTAGAACTATTTCCCTTTAAATGAGAGTAATGTTCTTTCCCATTGGTTGTACAAACATGTTGGCAAACAATATAGTGCAGCTCTATTTTTTACTTCCAAAACTCAATCTTTTTCTGTATGTATAAAATTACAGGATTTTTCAAATTTATAGGACAGACAATGCTGGTGAATGCCTGACTAGTGTTGGAGAGTCAATGAAACAAACTTGTCCTGGTTCCTGTTTGAAGGGTGCATTGTTGCTATGAAGCAACAGGAACTGTCTTCCTGGCTTGCAGCAAGTGGCAGAGAGAAAGGGGAGAGAGGGAGAGAGAGAGAGACACACGCAGTTTGGAACACTCTGGGTTTGTCCCTTGTGAGTACTTAGCTTGACGTTCACGTAAGGTGTGGCACAGTAGCATAGTGTGGGGGTCAACATACCTTTTATTCTCTTGTCTCTTGAGATCCAAGAATGCTGCCTTCTAGCCAGTAGAAAGGGCTTTTCTTCACTGCCAGGGGCCTGGGGCACTGTGGTGGCAGTGATTATGTGGGAGCAGCCAGGTATATGCAGAGGTTTTGGGGAAAGTTGGGGAGAAACAGATGATTCTTCATTTTGTGGACTAGGCAGGAGGGGCTGAGTGACATTTTCCTGTGCATGAGGGGTCCAATACATAGATTTGTACTAACACTAGAAAAGGGGGTGGGGGGGAAGGTGCTGTACCTAACTTTGTTTAGAAGTACAATTTCTAGAACAACTTTGAGCAGCATTTTAGCTGAGTAAGAGAGCATGGAAAGAATTATGTTAAACCTTAACTTTCATGGGTTCTTAAAGCATCCCTTAAATATGCAGCTAGAGGAGAGAGTATCCTGCTACCTACTAGAAGGGCAGCAACTTTTCATCAACCTAATTCTCGGACAGATGCTTCTAAATTTCAAAAGCAGCACTAAAAAAATGTCAAGCATATCATCAGACTGACAGGTATTTTATTTTCCAAGGAATTTTGAGAAATGACCACAGTTGTAGGACGCCCAGAAGAAAAGAAAATCACACTTAAAGAAAAATTGTTTTAAACAATCTCTGACAACTTCCTAAAATCCTAGAGTTGCTTGTTTTGAGCCTAACTTACAAAAAAGATAAAACAGGAACAGACAGCATACTACATTGTGGAATTGGTGTCAGCTTGCCGGGCAGCTTCAGAGCAAGACCCCTGCGCCCAGCTCCTGGTAGAACCACTAGGTCAGTTGTGGCCTGTCATCATGAGCCTCCTTTACAGCTAAAGACACCTCAGTCACCTCCCAGTTTAAAGCAAGCCACCCTCCCCACCCCCAGTTCCAAGTGTTGTGACCGCCTTGGAGGTCCTTGGTGGCCACCTCATCGCTTGCTGGAGCGCCTCTGGGACTTGTCGTGGGTACTCCGCTTCCTGGATGGCGAGTGCCTGGCTTTGCTGCGGTGCGCGCTGCACTTGTAAGGATGGGCCCTGTGCTTCCTGGGGCTCCCTTCCTTCCGCCTGGGGCTCCGGGCGGGCTCCTCTGGCTCCTCTTTCTGCTCCTGATCTTGCTCCTTCTGGGAAGGCAGTGTGTTCTTAATTGTGTTGAGGAGAAATCTTTTATTGGTACCAGCAAGAGGACACTTCATCCTGGGGAGGGGGTACGGGGGAGGAAGGGGAAAAGGAAAACAAATCCAAATCAGTAGCTAACTCTAAGGCTGCAAGCCCCTCATGTGATGCTGCTCGAGACATCTGCATCCAAGTTCCTGGCTGTGTTCAGCTTTCCTTGCATGCCACCTAGTGTAAACTTCGAGAACGAAGGGGACACTCAAGACTCTCAGAACTCCTGGGGCAGATTTCTCCGCCTTACATGAGCCCTTGAAAACCATCTTTCTGTTTAAGGCTGGCTTTTCAGTTTGCAATTCATGTGTACAGTTAGCATCACAATGCATAGTAATTGAGTCATTCAATAGTTTCTTCTTGACTAGGAAATGCCTTCTTGGGCTATAATTTGAGGTTCAAATGAATTGACCCAAAATATACTGCTGTTGAGTAAGTTATACTTCATTGCTGACTGTCTAGCGGGTCTCTGAGACCATGTATGTAGAGGGAGGAGACTGCCCATCTTTCTGCCTGGCTGGTGGGTTCAAATCTCCCGAGATAGTCTTTGATTTAACAGCAGAACATTGCTGGGTTATGTCACCAGCAAGGCAGCTTGATTTATTTTAAGGAGCCCTGGAGGGACAATGTAGGAGAGGAAGACCCTGGAGAGATGGACTGACAGAGTGACTGAGGTAATATGGGCAGGTGTGTCAGAGATGGTGAGATAGGCTCAGGATAGGGCAGAGTTTGGAGCTATTGTACATAGGGTCACTATGAGTCATAGGTGACTTGATAGTACATAACAACAAGAAGTGGTGTAGTTTAATGATTTTGTTTAAGGAGCTCTGGTAGTCTAGTGATAAGAAACTGCTGAAATCTCAAAGGCATGCAGTTCAAAGCCACCAGCTAGCTGCTCTGTGGGTGAAGGATGGGCAATCTCATCCTGTGTGATTTACAGCCTCTCAAAAGCCACTGGAAGGTCAGCCATGGGTCGGTTCCCATGGTACACACAACAATAATGGTGTAGTGCATTAAGTGCTGTGCTGTCAACTTTTTGGTTAAGAATCCAAATTCAACAACCGCTTTGCAAGGAGGAGACAGGTAGTTTCCTCCTGTTAAGATTTACAGCCCAAGAAACTGGACAGAAGGTTGCGGCGAGTCAGAATCAGCTCCATGACAGTGAGTCCTGCGGTTGATGATTTACTTATTTATTTTAAATAAAAGCGTAAATATAAGTCTCACTTTCTTAAACTAGGTCAGTAAGAGGTATTACATTTGTCAGGATAAGTGACATTCACTTGGAGAGCTGCCTAGAAACAGATCTTGAACACGCCCCTATCAAGAACCTTGACTGAGACTTTCTTATCCTGAATTTATGGCTTAGCTCTCGCTGACTCGTGCACATGAGGTATTAGATGGGAACAACGACTACTGTCAGCCTGATTAACACTCTGGATGACACGGACACCTAACTAGTTCCATCTGCTCCTACCTGTGTAATCTGATACAGATTAACATGGGCACTTTAACTCTGCAAAAGACAAAAGGAGGACTGGAAAGAAGACAGAACTAGATTTAATTAATATTTACCACCTTACATGCCAGGAACTGGGAGGGGTGTTTTGGTATACATTTATCATGCAGGAGGTAGGAATTACCTGTACTTTATTAAACTTACCAAGATTACACGTTACTTAAAGCTGACTCACACTAGACTGTTTCATCATTTCATTTGCAAATACACCAGGGTGAATTTCTAAACGAGAAGGGCTTTTTAAAAGATCAACATAATAGGGAGTCATTAATTAATAGGATAGAGTTTCTGTTTGGGGCGATGAAAAAGTTTTGGCTGTAAATAGTGGTAGTGGCTGCAAATGAAAACTATCTAACAATAATACTCTTATCATGCCTAAAAATTAACATTAATGCTCACTGAAAGTGGGAAGATGTGAAGTGCTTATTACAGAAGCTCAAAAACTACAGTCTTTGTTATAGGTTACAATTACAGATCAAGAAGACAAAAATTCTCATCAGTGGGCTGACAGGCAATATGACAGATAGAGAAAAGCTTGAACATCTATCTCATGGTTGTTCTTACTTGGATCCACAATCAATAGCCTTGGCATCAGCAGTCAAGAAATCAAAAGACATACTACATTGGGAAAGTCTACTGTCAGCGTCTCCTCAAAAGTATTGAGGAGCAATGACTAAAGTGTGCCTGCTTCAGGTCTGTTCCACTACTTGCTATGCAGGACAATGAATAAGGATAATCGAAGGATTGGTGTCTTTGAGTTATGGTATTGGAGAAAAGTATCCCATGGACTGTCAAAGAACAAATAAATAGCTCTTGGAGAAGGGTGGCCACAGTACTTCTTGGAGGTAAGAATGGTGAAGCTTCATCTCACATCCTTTGGGCATGTTGTTAGGAGGGGCTATTTCTTAGAAAGGGACAGCATGTTTGGAAAGAACTGGAAGTCTGAGAAAGAGAGGAAGACCCTTAATAAGATGGATCTGACACAGTGACTGAAATACTGGTCTCAAATATGTTGGAGATGATGAGGCTGGTGAAAGATAGGACAGGATTCAGATCCGCTCTTTATAGAGTTGTACTTGACTCAATGGCACCTAACAACAACAAATATCCCCAATTGTTTCATAAATGCTTTTTTAGAGTTAATGTCTTTCCATTTTGTTTTATTTTTCTCTTTGCAATTCATTTGCTAAAGAAACTTGTTTGTCCATGATCCACTTTGAGTTGGTTTTTGTGTATGGAGTGAGTTGTGGATCTTGCTTAAGTTTCCTGAAGATAGTTTTCCAATTTTGCCAGGACCACTTGTTAAAAAGGCTGACATTTCCCCACTTAACTGATTTCATCTCCTTGTCAAAAATCAGTTGACCATAGGTTGTTGTTGTTGTTATGTGCCATTGAGTTTCTTGCGACTCATAGCGACCCTATGTACAACATCCCTAAACTCTGCTCTGTCCTGCACCAATCGCACCGTCTCCGACACACCCATCCCAATTACCCCAGTCACTGAATCAATCCACCTCATAGGGGGCCTTCCCCTTCTGCGCTGTCCCTCCACCCTACCAAGCATGATGTCACTCT